CAAGGGTACAGCCAGCTTTTCGATTCATAATTAAGTTCAATAGCTAATTTCATGTTTTGGAAAGCATAAATATTAGGTTAATTCTTATCTATCATCTGATTGGTCAATTTTAATTGGTGGCTCACCGTTTTGCCCCGGATTTTGGAAATAGACCTCGCCCTCTTTGCGTCAAATGTTAGAGCTTCTAATTCGTTTCTGCGTGCACGGGTACATCTTATGGAAGCTAATCGTCTAATTTAATCGTCCTTAAAATTAGGTGTAATATCGCTAAATATTGACTGAACTGCGTCAAAAAAACCTCATGGGATTCAAACTGCGGAGAGTTTGAGCGCATGGTGCTCATCCGTACCTGTTGCCAGTGCAACAATAAAATACGCTCAGGTGCGCTAAACCGGGGGCTTTTCAATGGTGTGCTTATCGCTTTCTGCCGAGGTCAGGCTTCAAAGTTATCGGTAAATATATGATAGCGTCATTTTGAAGCGGACCAGAGAAGTCCTTGCATACTTATAAGGGTTAAGTACCTACTTTTTATTTTAACACATCCTTTTTTTTAAAGAAAGTATCTAGATAAACACTTTTTTAAAGTGGTTTTTAGGTATTGTATTTATGTACAATTAGAATTTCCAACAATAGTTTTTAATGGTCAGATTCCAGACACTGTAGCAAACTGTAGAGCTGATCATTGCTTGAGTAATCTTTATTACAGGTCAGAAACGATCTTGGTCACGTCACTTTGGCCACGTGGACAACAAGTCTTTCGCACCACGAAGTGTTTGACACAGCGCGTTCATCGTATTTAACGCGTTTACATAGTACCCAGACGATGGTAGAAAAAAGAGGGAGGGAGGGAGGGACAGATAAGGTGGATAGAGGCTCCGTAGTGACGGTAACTGCCTTGTCTGGAAAGGATATAGACTTCGGATACAAGAAGGACCTGCAAGTGCCCTGCATACTTACCTAAATTTATTGTCCACGTGACCAAGGGCGTGACCCAAAATCTTTCCACAACACCATTACTGGAAAACACACAGTTTCTGATCTGAAATGCACGACCCCCCAGAAGGTCACATTCTGAGCTACCATGTCGGAAGGAAGCGTCTTGATAAGTCGTGCTGGATCCGATGCACCTCGCCGTAAGGATTTCGACGATGCGAATCCTCGCCGCAGTCAGACTTCTATTCAGCGTGCTAAGAGAAAAAGAAATGGCTGGTTCTATGCCGTCCCTTTCCTGCTGCTTGCAGGTCTGCTATATTCCTTTGCTGTAGTCCCAACAAACGTCGAGAAGACTTCGATGTCTTCGTTTGGACAGCAATATGGTACGAACAACATCAACCGGTCGAATCGGAAAGAGAACACGGCGCTACGGATGGAGGTCACCTCCATATCAAGAGACAAAGGAATTATTATGTGCATGCACGATGGTGCCGTCCCCATGGGTCTCTCACTCATCCGGGAGCTGCGATGCCTTGGAAATCAAGAGCTCGTTCAAATATACCATTGCTTCCCAGAAGAAATATCCAACAATTCGATCTCGTTGCTGTTGGCAGCCGATGACAAGTTGGAGATCGTGGATGTGTGCTCCGATCTCGTTCAACGTGGAGTCCTAGCAGAAAACAAGGCCCGGGAATTTCGTAGCTGGTGGATCAAACCACTGGCGATGTACCACACGGATATTAAGGAAGTTCTGCTACTGGATGTGGACGATATTTTCATGCGCGATCCAGCTGTTTTACGCACAACAGAAGGATACCAACGCACAGGCACAACGTTCTTCTACGATCGTGTGCTCTCCAGCAAAGAATTTTTAAATCAAGACGTTAATGGAACGCAGTACCTTCGGTATCTTCTCGATACTTTCGACTATGAAAAGTTCGGCTTGCCACCAGGGGCATCTCCATCGTCCCACCTTGACCCGAAGATATCGTTTGTGTGGACTCGGCAGTCCTCGCACGAACAAGACTCATCGCTTGTGGCCATCGACAAAACCCGAGCTGGTCAAGCCATAAACGTCATGCTCTACCTTATTACAGAACAGCGTTTCATTCGAGAGTTTTCATACGGGGATAAAGAAACATTTTGGCTCTCATTCGAGCTGGCCAAGCAGGAATATTTTTTCTCTCCCTGGGGAAATGGGGACATCTCGTCGTCTACAAACGGAGACATGGATAAACACAGCGACTCACTTTGTGGCAGCATCGTGCAGTACATGCCAGTGAAGGATAGTCCGCCCGAGTTCCTGTACGTGAACGGCAAAGCGTTGCTAAATCCGTTTCCTGTTCCAATGGAGAAATTGGGGACAGCAAGCCACAACGTGCTGTTTAATACCAACCCAACGCATTTAACGCCTCGCCAGAAGAGAAGGCCAAATGGCAGCTCGAAAACAGACTACAAGGGAGGGTACGCCATGGAATGCCTCATTGGTTTTGGTGCTGAGCCGCTGCCAAAACAATTTGCCCCTCAATTGCTGCGCCGACGAATGTTTTACTTTGGAATTCGGATGGGTGTGTTGTCTGCACTCGATCAGTGCTTCCCGTTCGACGGAATGAAGTAAGATAGTTACACGTGCGCTCACCAACAAGGAACAGCCAGTATTTCGCCATGTTAAAGGTGTACGTAAGTGTGGCCAATGCTTTACAGATCCATACATTTCGAAGAGAAGCTAACCTTATCAAAGATTTATACAAGGAGGGATACTGGGTATCCTGTATGGCATCACAGACACTATATCGTTCCAAAATGTCGACTGAGTTACACATCACATTAGGAGACCTTAAAAAAACTTTCAGCTTAGATGACCTTCGTTCAACTTGCTGCGCGTGCCGCATCTAAACCTGACTAGCATCATAATACGCTGAATATTATTCAGCGTAAGGCGCTGAGGAACCGATGCAGCAATGTACGATACTGGATAAAAAAAATTGTTCAGTTTGGTGAACCTTGAGTAATCATTCACTGGGCAGGAGAGTAACTGGCCAACGTGGTAAGCCTAGAGTGCATAATATATGTCAAGAAGCCACAAACGGCTAGTTTTCTCATCGCCATTATATCATCGCCATTATATTTTGAGCGCAGCTATCGACTTCGCTGCGCCGATCGTTGCGATCATATCATTGCCACAGCTTGTCTTCGAGGACAGCTTCACTTGCTCAGGTTGTTGCCGACCTGTACGGATGTACTCACTGCAGCAGGAAGTTTGAGGTACTTTTAAGGCACAAAAAAGGTAAAGTGTACTCTTCACCGATTTTGCTGAGGGTTTTCAATACAAGTGAGATGAGCACTAGTGATCTAGTAGCATGAGCACTGTAATTTACAGTGTAAAGTCTCTAACTGCAATCTGTAATTCAATAACCCAATATTGCTTTAATATTTTTCCTACAACGTACTTCAAGTATTACGACTCCAGCGAAGGATATCACTCGGTTTCGTGGTCTACCGCAGCAAACCTCCTTTTGTGCTCATTGACGCTAACCTTCAAACGCGTCAGCTTGCGGCCAGCAGTAAGAAAACTTGTAGCGTTTATAACAAGATAACCTAATAATGAAAGTCAATCCGTGACAACCAGCGAAAGTCATTTCGCTTGCGATGGAAAACTACGTACGACTCGTGATCCGAGTACACTACATTCGCATTGGCATTCACAACCTCACAAACGCCAAGAAATACGCAAAGTGAACTAATCTGTTTCTTCCACTGGAGTTGCGCACGCATAGCGTAACGTAGCAGAAGAAAAAGAGCTTGAGAAACGCGATGGCTATAGAGGACTCCTTCTCACAACAAAATTGTTAGGCTGACACAGTCTTAGAGCGTGATCCCATATAAGCTCAAATTGGCATACTGGATACTTTGCACCAGAACGGTGTAGCATGCAGAGGCAGTGGAGCTTCCTCCACACCGAGGAAGTCGTCACTTCGAGCTTGAGGGTGTTTATGGGGCGGACAGAAAGCAGCTTTTCCACCTTCCTGCGATTTGCAGCGTCCAAACATCTGCTCGTGTCCCATGCAAGTGAACCATTGCCGCCTGCTGTACCATGCCCTCCCCCAAAGTGATCGCCCAATCCTCCATGATGACATAGAAAACCGGTTTCATTTGCCAATTTCAGCAGTTTGTTCAGCGTCATGCAAGTCCCGATCGCTCCGCCCGCCGACGACGACCTCATGGAGGCGCTCGGCTACTTTTCAGAGGACGTAGCCGTCCTGGCTCAGGATCCGCGTTCCCCATGTGAAGCAGACGCAACCGACGAGGCCATGGACTCGATGCTTCTGTCTCTAGAGATTCAGGAACTGCTCTCCACGGACGATAAAGTCAAGGTGGAACCGGCTTCACTGGAAGAGCCGAAGAAAATCGACCGGCGGCTGAGACCGTACTCGACATGTAAGCGTCGCAACCGCAGGCGTCCGAAGCACGAGCTCGAGTACTTGCGAGCCAAAGTGGTTGAGCTGCAGGAAGACCTGGAGACTTTGGGGAAGGCGGAGGTTGGTTCTCCGAACGCTGTTGGTCAGGAGACCGCTCTGGCTACGCTTGACTTGAACACAGGCGTATCGAGTTGGAAGGAGATAGCTGAACGTCAGAAACTCGGGGTGGAGAGCTCCGTTGCCGAGAACCGCAGGCTACGTAATCGGTTACTCGGTCAGTTGCAAGTGGCGCGTGTCCTGGAAGCTGCGATCGCTCAGCATCAGAAAGAGACAGGAGAGTCGACGATCGGTGGCGTGGGTAGATCAATGAATGGGACGGACAGAGAGATCTTCGCGCAACTTAATAGCTGTGTGGACAAGCAGTTCGCCGAGGTGAACACGGAGCTGACGACGAGTGGACTAGCGAACGTACTGCACCAACTCAGTGGCGGGTTCGAGTTCAAACGAGAAGCCAACGGCATCACGTTCCGACACGAGGAGACTCGACTGCTGCCGTTCTCGATGCAGGCTTTTCACCACGCGATCTGGAACTGTCTGCACAATGGCTCAATAGTGAAGCAGACTCACGCGCAGATTATCACTCAAAACCACTCCAACCTGGTCGTGCGCGAGACGCTGCAGCTCCCAAAGACGCATCGAATTAACGTCACGAAGCGGTCAGTTTTCCGCCGACATGTCGAGAAGGATCGCGTGGTGTTCGTTTGGACCAGTTACGTGGAAATCGATGGCTCAGTGTGCGTGCGTCTACGAGAGAGAGGGTGGAGTACCTGCTCGACTTTCGAGTTTCATCGTGGAGTTAGTGCTGGGGATAACAGTTCCAGCAACTGTATCCAAGGCTGCATGACTCGGATGGCTATTCAACTGACGCCTGAAGTGTCCGAGTTCCAGTCAGAGAAAGAGGCGCAAAGACATATCGGAGACGTGACAGATCTCATTGTGGGCACTTACCACCAAAACTTTGGATTGATTCATGAGGTGGTTGAGAGAATTCTGGTCACTACCAAACGTTTAGGCGCGACTGAAGCTGACAGTGACAACTGTGGCAAGGTAGTGGTCATGTGAACGACTCATTGATGTTTGGGTGTTGTGGGTAGAGTAAAAGTCAAGTGTAATGATGTTTTTATTGTAGTGAAGGTTTGTTCCTAAACTTCTAGATTATTTTATTGCGTGTTACACAGGTGATCACATTTTGAGTGGTTTTCAGTCGGAAGGTCCAATATGGAGGAAACCGTTTATCGCCAGAGGACGGTTATTGCTGCGCAACTTCGCATGGCACAGGCCACGTAATAAGCAGAAATTTACTTCGACTTCGTCTTCTCTACCATGAAGGGCACGACGGTAGCTATCCTCCCAGCAAACTTCAAACCACATCAAGTCGACTTCGATGGCTACGATACCTCACCGACAAAGCCCTTGCTGCGCTCACGATGGTCAAGACCTGCCAAGACTGCCATAGCTTTCTTCATTTTCGCAGCTCTGGGAGTAATAACGCTAACAACCGAGATGCAAGTTCTACCACGTTGGGCTAATTTGGACCCAAAATGCAGCCCCGTCACAGTCGACGCCACCACCGTCAACTACCGCTCCAACCACCGATTCTACGCTATGATCAAGGATATGAAGGCACTGAGTCCACCAACTTTTCGAGGCAAGCACGAGGCATTATGCACCGATAAAAACATCGAAGAGCGCAAATTTCAGTACTGCCTTCCAATCACGAGCCAGGAGGATCCAGTCTTCTGTGCTGGCGCAGATCGGATCGATCTACTGGTTCACCAATCACCACTGACATTGTGTCGTGCGAGTGTAATGAACTTGCTATTAACGGATGTGTACGAGGAGTTGGAGGCGGCCGGTGTGTCTCCTAGCGTCAATTTTACCTCGAAGGGCGGATGGATCGCTGATAGTATGTCATTATTGGGTATCTCTACCATCACATACAGCAGTAATGTCACTCGTGGTGGCACGCTGGATATCGCTTTACGGAAGAAAGGGTACCATCTTTTCCAAGATGTTGGCGGTTGGCGGGTATGTGTAGCACCTACACACCCGCTGGCATCGCACATGTATGATCCGGACCGTACGATGACAACCTCGGGTAACTCCGTGCTACACATCGATCTTGCCAAGGCAACAAGTACAGATAATGCTGTACCAAAGTCGACTACGACTACCGTCAGCACGGATAGTGACTGCTCACCCGATACGGTAGACTTGAAGAGCATCGAGTTGAGTGCAAACAACCGCTTCTACGCGATGTTGCAGACGATGGAAGTACTCCCATCTCCAGTTTTCCAGGGCGATCACACGGAACTCTGTAGTGATCACAACCGCAGAGATCGTGGATATCGCTATTGTCTGCCCATTTCCGGACGCAAAGCCTCCAACTTTTGTGCTGGCACTGACCGGATGGAGCTACTCGCTCATCCGACGACAGCAAATCGATGCTACGCCAGTGTTCTGCACATGCTCCTTACCGACGTTTACGATGAGCTTCAAGCTACCGGATCTGACCCCATTCTGACGTTTGGGACTCTCTTAGGAGCCATTCGCAACGGGTCAATGATTCCGTTCACTGAAGACGTCGACATCGCGTACTCGGGGACGATCACCGGCAACGGAGCACTGAATGATGCACTATGGAAGAAAGGTTATCATCTTTTCGATTATGGTATCTGGCGTGTATGTGTCGCTCCGACTCATCCGCTTGCATCCGTGTTGTATGATCCAGAAGCGCCAATAGTCCAAGAGTACGAAGTTCCGTACGTGGATTTGTACAAAATGAATACTCAGAACGGTGGCAAATTCTGGAAGATGCAGGAGGCTAAGGAAAGGATCCCTACAGATCGAGTCGAACCGTTCTCGCAAGTCACGCTCAACGGTTTATCTTTTGATACGCTGCACGATCCGAATTATTTCCTCACGCAGGAGTACGGTAGTGACTACTTGAAGCCAAAGCCGCGTAAGCCTGAAGACGCGTTCCCAGATGAGATAGAGGAAGTCGAAACTCGACGAAGCCGTCGACTTGTCCACGGCAGCAAAGGATTTCGGAGCGATGACAATATTTTGTTAGAAGATCAAGAAGAAGCACCGTAATTTCACTTGTTAAGAAAAGAATTACCCTCGAATAGCAAAATAGACAATTCAAAGATGACCTACGAACAGCAAAAAAAAGAATACAACTTGACGCAGTTATTTCAGGAGTTTCCTATTGAATTCTTAACCGTGTTGTAACTTCGCATGTGGGATTGCACAAGAAACAACCTCCTCTAGCAACGTCAATCAAGAAAAAGACCACTTGATCATTACCTTTCGCCTACACATTGGTGAAGGAATCGAGCCACCATGAGAGGCGCTACCGTGGCGATACTCCCAGCAAATCTCACGTCTGAAGACCACGAACTAGACCTTGGCGTTGACAGCGACTACGATACAACACCCATCAAGCCTCTAATACACACTAAAACTCGATGGTCCAAGAGCGCTCTCGGATTCATCGTCTTCGCCACTCTTGGAATTGTAACGCTAACAACCGAGATGCAAGTTCTACCACGTTGGGCCAGCTTGGACCCAAAATGCAGCCCCGTCACAGTCGACGTCACCACCGTTAACTACCGCTCCAACCACCGATTCTACGCTATGATCAAGGATATGAAGGCACTGAGTCCACCAACTTTTCGAGGCAAGCACGAGGCATTATGCACCGATAAAAACATCGAAGAGCGCAAATTTCAGTACTGCCTTCCAATCACGAGCCAGGAGGATCCAGTCTTCTGTGCTGGCGCAGATCGGATCGATCTACTGGTTCACCAATCACCACTGACATTGTGTCGTGCGAGTGTAATGCACTTGCTATTAACGGATGTGTACGAGGAGTTGGAGGCGGCCGGTGTGTCTCCTAGCGTCAATCTCACCTCGAAGGAAGAAACGACACTAGATGAAGCTGCCACTACCGCTTCATTGTCAATAACCGAGGTTTCTAGCATCGCCTACAGCAGCGACATCACTCGAGGTGGTTTGCTAGACGTGAATCTGCGAAAGAAAGGTTACCATCTCTTCCTAGACGGCAACGACTGGCGTGTTTGTGTGGCGCCTACACATCCGCTAGCTTCGCATCTGTACGATCCGGATCGGAAGTTGGTGACCGCAGCAAATGCCGTCCCACACGTTGATCTCATTGTCGCTTCAGCTGAACAGGACACCAGTGTGGTGATACCAAATGCGATTAAGGCACAAGACGAAAGCTGTTCACCCAATGTGCTGGACGCGATAGACATCGAGTACGCGTCCAGTGATCGATTCTACACGATGCTAAAGACGATGGAAGCGCCCCCACCTCTTGAATTCCATGACGATCACAAGAAACTGTGCAACGATAATGCCGTCGACGAAGAATTTCCGTATTGCCTCCCCATATCTACACGTAGTGATACTGAGTTTTGTGAGGGTGCAGATCGCATTGATCTGCTCGTCCGACAGTCTCCATCAACGATATGTCTCGAGAGTGTCCTCCACTTACTCGCTGGAGATATTTTTGCGGAACTGCAAGCTGCTGGAGGTTCACCGATAATTAACCTCGACCAAGATGGCTCTAGCTGGTTCTTGGTAGAAAATACCAATATCACATTCAGCGCCGAACACGTCAATGTAGATGAGCTAAAACTCGCGCTGCTTCGAAAGGGATATCGCCTTTATAACGAAGACAATTGGCGCGTATGTGTCGCTCCAATTCATCCGCTAGCTGCGAATCTCTACAATCCCGATCAAGCTATATTGGAGAAGTATACGGGGCCACACTTGGCGATAGTGCCAAGCAAGGTGGATGGTATTAGTGAGTTAACGATGGTTGAAGCGACCGCTACAACAAATCCAGAAGACACTGATAGTGTCAGTGTGAGCGAGATTGCCCCACAGATGACAACGCCCACCGTCTCAGTGACCGGATGCACACCAAACATGGTCGATGCTTTTGACGATGGTTCTGGAGGTGAATTCTATTCCATGATGAAGAGCACAGGATCATTGCCACCTCCAAGATTTCATGGCGAACACGAGGTTTTGTGCAATTCCGACAACCGCAAACACCGCGAATTCCGCTACTGTTTACCGATTTCTGGTCGGAAGGACAGCTCGCTCTGCGCCCATGCCGATCGCATGGATATACTTCTGCGTCAGTCACCAAAGAAGCGATGCTTTGCTAGTGTCCTGCACATGCTAATGAAAGATGTTTTCGAGGAGCTGAAGGCGGTTGGATTCTCTCCGATCCTGACATTTGGCACCCTTCTTGGTGCTGTTCGGGACGGTGGGATAATCCCGTTCACTGAAGACGTTGACATTGCATACAACGGAAGAATCGTCAACGGAGGAGAGCTGGACGATCGGCTGTGGCGCAAGGGCTATCACCTCTTTCAGTATAACATTTTTCGCGTTTGTGTAGCCCCAACACACCCATTGGCGTCTCAGCTCTACGACCCCGAGCACTCGATCGTCGAAGAATACGCCGTCCCGTACGTGGATTTATACGCCATGCAACAAAAATTTGGTACCTCCTGGTCGATGGAGGAGCTCAAAACTCGGTGGCTATCCAATGATCGAGTCATGCCGTTTTCACAAGTGACGATCAATGGTGAGCAATTCGACACAATACATGATCCAGCCTTCCTTCTCCTGTCGGAGTACGGGGCTGACTACATGACCCCGAAACCTCGTGACCGCAGGCTGGCCTGGAAAGCATTTAGGTGATAGTAGACTTGAGTTAGGAGTACGCACGCAATCATAGATTACATGTATCCGTTCGATTCACACACTCGTATGCAACACAACAGCTTCATCCCTCCCAAACAGCAGATCATTGATCTTTATATCATTACTGTCCGTGAAGCGGCTTAGTGCTACACGGCCAAATATCACTTCAAGGTGGTCAATGGCGTCATGGTCTCCGATGTTGGTGCCACGCGAATGGTGCGACAGCTTCCGTCGTCGCTGTCTCGTAATCACTCAATCGATTAGTCCCTGCGTGCCCATGTGCGCAGCAGGTGCAATGCGCGTTGACTTTGATCTGCTGTTGCCATTCCAACTCTCGGCACCACCGACACACTCGATCCGTTCGTCAGCACCTGCTGTCCTGCTGTCCTGCTGTCCTGCTGTCCTGCTGTCCTGCTGTCCGACCCCTCTACCGTCACAGAGCTGTCCACCGCAGCACCGCACCGATCACTTCTCAAGACGCCGCCATGCCGCATCAATCCAGTCAACACGACAGCTTCGAAGCCCTGGACGACGATTTGCTGGCAGCGCTGGACGACGTGCTGTCTTTCTCGGAGCAAACCTCATTGGCCGATGCTTTCGCCGCGACGGATGGCACTACACTAGGCGACGAGATCGATGCCATGCTATCGATCGAAATCCCACCACTACTAACGCCGAAAGAGCAGACACAAGCCGTCAGAAACCCAGCGACAGACAAACCCGTAAAGCCTGCAGGTCTCAATCGATCCGGTAGCGGTCGAAACCAGCAGACACCGTCAGTTCTCGGCAAGAAAGGCAAGGACGTCCGTACGACTCCGTACTCTAAGGCGACCAAGACTCGTCGTCGCAAGCGTCCGAAAGACGAACTCGACTACTTGCGCGCCAAAGTGACGGACATGGAGGAGGAGCTGGCTGCGTTGAAGAAACCGGAAGTCGGGTCTCCCGCCGCCGTCAGCGCCGACGTCATTTTCAACGGAGACTCCAGCGTCAGTGCTGAGTCTTCGCAAGACGTCTTGCTGTGCTGGAAGAAGATAGCCGAGCGACAGAAAAAGGAGGCAGACCGCTCAGTTGTGGAGAATTTGAGGCTTCGCGCGATGTTGGAAGGACAACTCAAGGTCGCCAAGAGTCTAGAGGCCGCTATCGACCAGCACCAACGAGAGGCGGCGCAGTCTCTTCCTACTTTCGGCAGTGACAACGGAGGTGTGCCTACTGTTATGTCTGACGAGTTAATCTTCGCGCATCTAAACGAGAGTCTCGAAGCTCAGTACGCTGAGTTAGACACCGTCTTCGAGCTCAGTGGCATCGCTCATGTTAATTATGACATGAACAACGGCACCAAGGCGCATCACGACGCTAGTGGCGTCTCTATCAGACACGAAGAAGTTCGTTTGCTACCATTCTCAATGGAAGCCGTACATCGAGCGATGTGGGGTATTCTCCGGTACAGCACAGCCAAGGACATGATGCTGGGTCCTTTCCAGACTCAAGTAGTTGACGACAACCGTATGAACGTCACTATGATCGAGAAGATTCAGTTAGGCAAGACACAAGCGGATATCGTACGAAGATTCGCGTTTCGCCGTGTGTTCGAAAAGAACCGTACTGTGGTGGTCTGGAGTTCCTACGTCGAGATGGACGGCTCCGTCTTCGTGCGTCTAAGAGAGAAGGGCTACTGTACGAGTTCTTCGTTCAATTTCGGAGCTGGAGTGCCCGGTTCAGTGACCCGAATGGCAGTATTAGCCAGCCCGGAAATGACTGCGTTCGTGTCTCCTGAAGAACAGAAAGCTCACATTGGCGAGATGACGGAGCTAGTGGTCGGAACGTACCGTGTCAGTATGGGATTGATGCACCAGATAATCGACACACTTCTACTGCGAGAAGCCATGGGCGGAAAGATCGAAGCAGTCGAAAGCCCAGTAGCCGCAGTAAGCTAAGCCAAACTCGCTGTAACTATCAAAATACATAACTCCACCTATTGTTTCGATGCATTAGCTGAAGTTTAGATGTGGTAGATCAAGTCGTTGGGCATCCCCCAGCACTTGAACCCCAAGAAATGCGCGACGTAGCACAGTCCCTCGGTTTCTATACCGTCATAACCTTCGCTTGTCCACTCACTTCCGATCAAATGATGAACCGGAAAAACTACACCTTGACGATGAACATCAGCCTTCACGTACAGCATTGTGCCGCCTACCGAGTCCAGAGGTACAAATGTTTCCTCGATTCCATGAAATTGTATCATACGCTTGACACTCGAGTCTCCGGGTACGAAATTCGAGTCTCGAGCTGATCGTCGCACTTTACGCTGCCCCACCCACGCGTTGAGATCGTACTCGTACCAATCTTTGCCGTTCGCTTTCATCCGCACACACATGGGCTCCACGATATCCAGCCCAGCTACATCAAGTAAAAGTATAAGTGAGTATATATCCACCTCATTCACATAACATTTCACCTACACCGAATCATCTTCTTCAAAAGACCCGACGGAACCTTTTGCACATCTGCGTCCAGCCATACAACATGCTGATGCCAGAGTTCCATAGTCGCTAGTAGAGCAAAGTTGCGGTATCTCGCAATAACTCGACGCCGGTTGACTTGCACTGAATTGTCATGGCGATTTTCTCGCGTTACGACTGCTGGAAGTGCGAAATCGTCTCGAAACAGCACTGAGAGTCTGGGATATCGTTCAATCTGCTGTTTAAAGTGCTTTTCCACGACTTCGAACTCGCTTATGGACGACGTGAACACTGTCACGGACATTTTCTCCTTAGGATAGTCGAATGTTCCCAACAATTCCAAAAAGTCCTTAGCTGTACGTCCTTCCCCCCACGACTCGGTATCTTTGAGCACTACCATAACCAGCACCGAGTCTGCGTTCTTGTTGCTGGACTGACTCAGTAACTTGGTATTCTCTAGTCGAAAGTGTCGTCCTGGCAGAGAATTCTCCCCATATTGGGGGAAAGTATCCTCGCTTTTCAAGACATCGTCATTATTCGTCATAGTCGTCGCATACTTGACATTCACATTGAGCGGCCCCTGGAACGGAGTCGATGGATGCAAAACACTGCTCCCTACCGCGTCTCGTTGCGTGAGGACCCACAGAAGCGTCGAAATCAACACCAGAACCGCGAAAACCGCGTATGTGAACGCTTTGCGACCCCCTTTAGCCACATCCAGTTGCCAGCGCAGAAATCGACGACTGAGAGCTTCGAGCATCTCGCGGCCAGTTCGAAAGTGACGTGGAGATTAACCTACAACTTCGACTGGACCTCGGATGACGCGACGCATGATTCCTCGTCTACGATACAGTAACTGTACTCTTGCTGTTTGGGGAGAAGAGTTTCACTACAATTGAAGATATTGTGGGTACAAAGAGGTACAGTAGCCTCTACTGTCCGCACGGCGGATGCATGAGTCATAACGACTGTAGTCATGCAGCATGCCTACAGTCGTCCTTGCGTGGTAAGGCGTGTACGACAGCAACTATAATACATTCCTCGAGATGGCTACACTCAATTATTTTGCGATTACGGGTGGTACATAATTTACCACAACCGTCGCAACGACAGTATCAAAAATGCAGACTCGTCGCTTATCTTCGTCGGCCTCTCCGCGGCGGGATTTCTCCGCCTCAGTGCACCCTCGTTCCTCGCCCACTCGCTCTCTGCATCGCCAAGTCGCTCGTCTCGTGGCTGTCCTCTTTGCTCTTCTCCTCTTCGAGGGCTGGTGGCGCTCTGGGCCCTCGTACGTCGAGGAGCTCGAAAATGAGCATGAACTGGAGTTTTATCCGCTTGAGTTGCTCCAGCACGTCGACGAGATCGACGACAGCGAGCGTCTGCACCTCGCAATGTTGCACGAAGGATGCATGAAGCACAGCGAGAGCGTTATCACGTCGGACTTTGGTCGCAATGGGGACAAGGACAGCCAAGTGGGGCGATTCCAACGGGACGATAGCAATCTGAGGGAAAAGCTCGAGAAATGCCCGGACGTGGAGGTTTTCCTACCTTCATCGATAAGAGGAGATGGGTACTGTGAGGATGCAATGGGTTACGTCAAGTGTAGGTATCTGTTAAGGGGTACATGTACACTTTCTCCATACAGGTCTTGACAATTATTGTAGATTTACAGGGTCGAGCGTTGCCTCGTTGGGTGTTGGACGTCGAGTTTCAAGACAAGAAGACGGGCAAGAAGTTGACGTACCACGATCTGTGTCCTAAGACGCCGTTGATCTTCATGAACCACTTCTGGGAAGACGTACCCAACAGTCCGTTGTGGCCTGAGAGCAAACCGGTATATCTCATGCCGAATGTCGAAATGTACGAGCTAGAAGCAGAACACTATTGGCGAGTGGATGTGGTACTCTGCAAGACGGCAATCTGTGCGAGACGCGTGAGAATGTGGTACCAGCAGGAAGGTAACCCAAGACGCACTAGAGTCATCTACACGAGACACACGACGTCCGATGCAGCGCTGTATGCGAAGAGCCAACTCAGTGCCGGTACCAACGTGGCCAAGAACTTCTCCAACGTCCACTTTGTGCATACAGCTGGAAAAAGGTTCGTCCTATGGATTGTCTGCCAAATTCGGTGTTGTAGATTGACTTTTGTGGTATGTTGCAGTGTGTTTAAAGGGACGAACGCCGTGCTGGACTGTTGGTTGTCCCGTCCAGATTTTCCGCCGTTAGATGTCTTTGTTGACCAGGATGTGTACAATAACTTCATGAGGAAGCTCTACGACGACCGGATTAAGGCACAACCGGAGCCAAAAAAGATCACGCTGCACACAGGCCGCGTACCTAGCAGTATGTTCGGTAGAATGATGATCGAGACGGCATTCGTGCTCTGCACCAGCGTGTTGGAAGGATACGGCCACTACATTAACCAGGCGCGTGCCAGTGCGGCGCTGATCGTGACGACAGACGCACCGCCGATGAACGAGTTGCTGTCGCCCGAGTCGGCGGTTCTGGTGCCGCATCCAAGTACCATCGTAGAGAAGCAGTTGCTGGGCGGCAACTTCGACGGCGACCACGGTCTGCAGGGCGTCAAGGGAATGGCGACGTACGTTAAAGGCGCCGAGATCTGCGATGCCGTCGAGCGGGTTCTCGAGATGACACCGGACGAACGTCAAGCGATGGGAGAGCGCGCGAGGAAGCAATACGTGCTGGATACCCAATTCTTCGCAGCCAGGATGAAGGAACTGCGCGCGCTAGCAAGAGCAGGAGACGTGTCGTGGTATTCGCAATAAACTCAATGGAAAAACAAATGAACTACATGTACAGATCTCTCCGTGCTGGTTGAGTCTTTGGAGCAGCATGAATGTTGGTACAGGTGTAGTTGAACGCTTCAAGTGCACGTTTCAGTGATGTCTGCTGCAGATCGTCGTCTGTCTCCGGATTACTCCATCGTCACGCATTTCGGCTTTCTTTACGCGTTTGGAAGAGTAATCTGGAGCTGTGAGGCTGCGTGGGCAGCTCACTTAGCAGCAAGCGGTACAGCACGCAAGTCTCAAGTGCGATGGCAGACACGCCAATGTCTCCGCTCGGGGGCAGCTCGAATGACGATCTTCTCGCAGCACTGGACGAAATGCTGGCCTTCACACCCGAGACCTCTTCCTCGCTGGCTCAGCTCCCGTTGGATGCAAACTTCGTGGCGGACGCGTTCGAGCTGCCAGAAGTGCCGAATCCGTACGAGTCGGTGGAGATCAAGACGGAGACTGCTACAGCCCCCGCACCAGCTCAGCCGCAGGAACAGCCTGGACCAAGAGGGAAAGACGCGCGTGCGACGCCGTACCCGAAGGCGAAGCCGCGTCGTCGCAAACGCCCGAAAGATGAGCTCGATTATCTACGCGCAAAGGTGGCGGATCTGGAGGAGGAACTGACGAATCTGAACCAATCGGCAGGACGGATGTCTCCTGTCAGCGATGACGACGAGGAGATGTTCGCTCGCTGGAAACAAGTCGCCGAGCGACAGAAAGAGGAGGCCAACAAGACTGTGGTTGAGAACCTCAAGCTGCGCGCCATGCTGAAGGGCCAATTAGAAGTCGCGCGCCGTCTCGAAGCGGCTATAGCTCAGCATCAGCAGGAGGCGGCAGAACAGGCTTTCCCGTGGAATCCGATCAAGACGGAGTTTAACGTTGATTCAGAAGCAGACACAAACAGTAGACGCCCCCGCGCGCCAAGTATCTCGGACGAACTGCTGTTTGCAGAGCTTAATGGAGCTCTCGAGGCGCAGTACGCACAGGTTGACGCGCTACTGGGAGCGGCTGGAATTTCTGATGTCAACCGCGAACTTTTGAGCAAAATTCAGCTCAAACAGGACGCCAGTGGTATCTCGTTCGCACACAAGGAAGTCCGTTTGCTGCCCTTCTCAATCCACGCCGTGGCTCGCGTCTTCTGGTCTTTCCTGCTTTATGAGAGCAAAAGAATGCCAGGTAATATCCAGACTCGTGTCATAAACAACGACCACCTGAACGCCACGATCGTCGACACTTTACAGCTCCCAAAGTCCCGCCACACTGAGGTCCGTACGCGGATCGCAGTGCGCCGATACTACGAGCCCAACCGCGTGGTGTTTGTTTGGAGTAACTGCATGGAGATCGCAGGCTCCGTGTTCGTACGTCTACGTGAAAAAGGAGTCCACACTGTAACGAACTTCGACTTCCTCGGTGGTGGCAGTGGCGTCTCCCCTCCAGGCTGCATCATGCGCGCTGTGATCGACGTCAGGCCCGAGACCGTGGAATTTCGCACTGGAGCGGATACTCAAGGACACATTGGAGAAATGACTGACCTCGTGCTCGGTACGTACCACCGCAACTTCGGATTGATCAACCAAGTGATGGAGAACCTCCTGCTCAACGACCTCATGGGAACCTCAGAGTCATCTAGGCAGGCTGATTAGTGCCGTAACGTCATACATTATGCCACCACAATATTCCTCAAATTAACCAATCATCATTCATTATCACAGTCCACCAACCAATCACGTATCAATATTTCTTCATTTTGAAGAGCTCCCACTGCACTCCACACCATGCAGGAACGCCCCCAGACCTCGAGCCTCAATGGTGGCGAGATGGACAAGGACTTGCTGGACGCTCTGGACGAGATGCTGGCCTACACGGATCAACCCATCGAGACCGGGTGCCACTTAGCTGACGCGTTTGGATCATCCGACATGACGCTCGAACTGGGAGATCTCCCACCTTTTCTGGATCAACAAGGCATCACACAGCAGCACAATGATACAATAGACACTCAAGCATCGACACCTTCGCCGTCTCAGGATCCTCAACGCAGAGGCAAAGACGTCCGAACGACCCCATACGCAAAGCCAAAGCCGCGACGTCGCAAGCGCCCGAAGGACGAACTAGATTATCTACGATCTCAGGTGAAGGACCTACAGGAAGAACTAGCCAAGTTGTCGCCTTCTAGTGACAGCGAAGGAAGCCACGACGACGAACTTTTCGTCCAGTGGAAGAAAATCGCTGACCGTCAAAAGGCCGAAACGGATCGCTCCATGGTGGAAAATCTCAAGCTGCGGTCCATGCTGGAAGGACAGTTAAAGGTGGCCAGGAGTCTGGAGGCTGCAATCCAACACCAACAGGAGGAAGCTGCTCAATTGTTATCCCTACATCGTGTCAAGGCTGCACTAAACGCCATTGAGGGAGGCGGAAGACCACGTGCCGCGAGCTTGTCGGATGATCTGATCTTTGCGCAACTTAACATCGGACTGGAAGCGCAGTACGCGGAGTTTGACTCGGTAATGGACAGAACGGGACTCGCCAAGGCGTTGCAGAGTCCAAATAAAATCCAGACGCTTCATACGCCGGAAGGTATCGCCTTCAGACATGAAGAAGCTCGACTGCTGCCCTTCTCGATGCCTGCAGTTCATCGCGCGATGTGGAGTTGTATGCGCTTCGGCAAGGCAGAAGGTCTGACGGGTCGTATCCACACTCGTGTTCTCAATAATGACCACCTGAACGTCACGATAGTCGACAAGGTCCAGTTGCCAAAGGCACACAGCATCGACACGTGTGCCAGACTGGCAATGCGTCGCTACTTTGAGCAAAATCGAATCATCGTCGTGTGGAGGGGATACGTGGAGATTACGGGCTCATTCTTCGTCCGCCTGCGCGAAAGAGGCTACACTTCAGTCTCGGCCTTCGACTTCAGCACGAACGCCGAAGTGAGGTCCAGTAGCTCGAGCAGCATCCCAGGTTGTGCTCTTCGTATGGCACTTCAGACTAAGCCTGAGATGGACGAGTTCGACTCGGAAGAGGAGGCGAAGGACCACGTTGGTGAAATGACGGATCTCGTTGTTGGCTCGTACCATCGCAACTTCGGATTAATGTACCAGATCATCGAGAATCTGCTCTTCCGCGACTCTACCGGCGGAGAAGTGGACGAGCAGGAGTTGGCACGCTTTGCCACATACTAGACTAGCTGTCACGATATCCAGTTTTTGCTAAGAGATACACTGCTACACTGCATGCTTTGATGACGATCACGACCAATGTAATGATGCTAACCGAGAGTGGACTTGTGTAGTACAGTAGTAGAAAGTGTAGTTGCGTTGAAGAGATGGATGACGTTGTCAATGATAACTTGGCCATCGGCCCATACTGCTGCAATATCGAGAGGGTACTTCAGATATGATATTGGAATATGTGAGGTTGTTGCCGGTAGTTAACCCTTTGAAGCCTTCGGCCGTCCAAGCTCAGCGGCAGTAATAGTGTTTTTCGCCGACTTCATACCTTTGATGATTCACAATTGAAAAACGATACATGTAAGTCATGGCCACCATCATGTACTCGTGCATGTTGACGCTTTTCTGCATTTTTTTACAGCATCGTGGAGACACCTTTGTCCAGCAATTGAAATCCTCTGAATTTCTTCTCACTCTCGAGAATCTCCCGCACAGCATAAACGGTTGATCCTCTCACGCCGCAGACAGTCATGGACGCTCTCGAAATTGATTCCCATGATGTCAAGGAAGCGAGTACGAGCGAGGAGGCAACGGAAATGATACCGAACGTTGCCTTACACAAGAACCAAAACTCGATGGCGCAAACGTCCAAAGAACGAGATTAGCTATCTCGAGTTTTTAGTGGCAGACCTAGAGAAGCTTTTATCAACGCTGGAGCGTCAAGCCAGGCGTCGGAAATCGCAGAACGCACGAGGGAATGACCACGACAACGCCGCTGTCTTGTGGCAAGTACGTGCGAAATGCCACGCGAGAGATAAAAGTGCTGCACTAATGGAGAACCGAAATGCCACGCGAGAGATAAAAGTGCTGCACTAATGGAGAAGCTCCGAGCGATGCTGGAGGATCGACATCGCGTCGCGAAGGCATTTCAGTCTGTCTCGAGAGTTCCGTAGCCAAGCAAGGACAGCATTAGAAAGGCTCCGGACGAGCTGGTTTTCGCGTTGCTGAGTGAAGAGAAAGAGCGCCAATTTGCAGTCACAGATTAAGTTCTCGAAGATAGCGGAATTGCCCGAGCGAAGCATGAGATTCTGTCGCGACTTCGCTTCCAACACAACTCATTCCAGCATGTCGAGGTTCGGATGTTTCCATTTTCCGTGGCGGATGTGACGCGTGCCCTTCGGAACTGTTTGGCGCACCGAACAAGAGAGCGGAAGCGCTGCTGTAAGCTTTTGCAAGGCGACAACTACTTCAAAGCCGTGATAAATGATACGGTGCGAGGCCCCGGTACATGCCCGGTTTGACGTGAAAGCGCATGGCCCCTTTAGAATCGGAGTTTGACGTGGAAATGGCAGGCAATGTTAACGAGATGGCTAACGTCGTAACAAAGGCATACCATCGCAACGCCGACATGGTCTACCAGGCTCTGCTAGACCAGCTGACGACTAGTCTTCCATCGGTTCAAATTTCAGAGCATTTTCATGCAAGGCGTGACTTTGTATTTAGTTTTTGGTATCCCTGTGAATGATCGTCCAGAAGGAAGGTTTTCACCGCGGTCAAAGCAGAGTTCTAAGAGCTTAGCTCTTCTAGGAACATAATTTGCATCTACATGTAGAGAATCGCCCGGGATTTATTTCTTTTACCTCAAGGCGCTCACTATGTGCTGCGCGAATTGTCTCAAAGCGACAACCAAATAAATACCAAGACGAGCATCTGTGTGTGGATGAAGCTTGGAACAGGATCGGGTCGCGGATGAAGAAGATCGGCGTGTTGTTGCCCACGAGGTCCCAGTACTTCCCAAATAGCGTGGGTGGTCCGACGGAAACAGCCTCACTGCATTATCACTCGTACCAGGGAGATCACTCGGTGGTGGACAAGTTCTCGACAGTGGACGACGATAATTTCTCTCAAGTCGGCGATTTCTACCGCAAAACATTGGATGCTGCGGCACGCGAACGTCTTACGGACAACATTGCTGGGAGGGGGGGGATCGTTGGTGAATGAATGCATCTAAGTAGCGTACTACTGTAGCTGTAGCCCGCTTTATAGCACGGCGATTTTTTTTTTTTGTAAAGTAAATTGATACAATTATTGCAATACATAACGATAACGACAATTTTGTCGTCCAAAAAAAATCACACTGAAAAACATCCAATTTTTCAGAACTGGATTCCAGCCATATTCTATTACTCAACGACAACGAACTTGTAGAACTTTCGATGAAAATGTCGCTTGCCGTTGGATGACATTCAGACGAAAAAACCCATTAAAATTTTAATGGGTTTTTTTCGTCTGAATGCCATCCCAGCCAATCAAATCGTTTAGCCCGAAATAGTAGCATGTCCTGCAATTGTACTATTACTACTACATGTAGTATTAGTCGTAGTAGCTAACACAAAGAAAAATATGCAATCAAAAAAATCAAAACTGTTGATAGCAAATGTGTTACTTTTTGAAACTATTTTATGAATTTTGTTTAATCCCAGTAATAGAAATTGGTTTCTTTTTGTTTTGTAAAATGCAAAATATTAAAGTTATTTTCTTTTTAATCAGTTAATTTAAAGTTAAAGATCGACACAAAAACATGAAAATTTATCGCAAAAGTTGTAGAGCTGAATTTTTATCAGGAATGTCAGAATGTTATTTCAAAAACATTTAAAAAAACTCTTTAATGTAATAGAACAAAGTGTTTTTTAATCATTTTTGTGACCTTTAAATAGTGCAACGAAATAAAAGAGCCTCAATATATTTATAGCTTGGTTTGCAATCTTGACTCAACATTCTTGAACTCCGTAATTACAATTATAAGGGGGCTTCGCTTTAGGCGGAGGTAGGGGGGGGGGGGAGTATTTGTTTACAGTTGCCTAAGCTTACTTAAGAGCGTTATTGCGTGCAAATGGTGCTTCGCGTACATTGTTCTGTTCTCAATGAGGCGAGCCATCCTAAACTGCGACTACTTTGCATATTTTGATTTCTGTCTAACTAACAGTGTAAACTCAGTTGGCTGAGATAGCTATTTATCGTAATAAAGTGAAAGCGTTCTTCGGCGGTAGACCTGTCGAAGAATAGCAGCCTCACACCACTGCTGAAGATTTTTTTTTTGTATTCTCATATCTAGTTTATACAGAACAGCGTCTAGAAAGTGGCGCTTCAGTGGTGAGGTTGCTCCGCATAGGTTTATATTTGCTTTCGGTTGGAAAATGATAATGCTCTCAGTTGCATTGCACTGAATCTTCCAAACGATTTGAAATAAACGCTAAATACACGGCACACATGCTGTAATGGTTCTGCAGTTGGCCAAGTATTTAACGTCGTGATTCACGAGTTCCCTCACGGTATTTGAAACGGTTTGTTGCAGCGTGATGTAGTTTGTGTTAATGTAATGAGTCACTCAGTTGTGTAAATGCTGTGTGTCGTGATATGATCTGAAAAGTTGTGTGTGCTACAGGCAACTTTTTTAGAACGAATTAATCTATGTGACGCTGCCCATGCAGCTCTAGCTGTTTCCCAGAATTAAACTTCTTCGCTACATGTACCTCTGTAGACTGAGTTTACTCTCAATATTTAGCTGTCCCAACTTTTCGTGCCTGGATTTCCCGATGTAGTTAAGTCCATTGAGACAGAATTTCACGTGACCTTGACCCAAATACTGTACGAAACCGGATCTTGGGTTCGACACCTTGTCGACTGAAGACAATACATCGGGAGGTAAGAAACAAGTGTATGTAAATGTATACTCCTTTTTCACACATTTGACGACAGATGTGAATATTTTTGTACCGGTGCTGCCTACTGCACATTACGATCACGAGCAATTCTGTAGGTAGGCGACGACAGCAGAACGAGTCTTCCAAAAAAATGCTATCCCTATACTTTCACACACCTAGCCGAGATAGACAAGATACCGGCGCGTGAAAACTGGTAAAGTCTTCCGATCTCTCGTAGGTTATGTCCTGGTACGATAACTCGGAAATCACAAGATCGGTAAAAACAAGTAATCCGACTTTCATCAAATGGTGGCATTATTAGAAAGTGACGATAGATTATTAAAAGTCCCATAGCATTATCGACGATAATGCCTGAAAGTATATGGGGCTTTTGGCGCGTGACGACATCAAAATCGAGTGTCATTAAAATGAGTAAGAGTGCATACCCATACATGATTGATCTGCATGTGCTGCAAAGTAGAGAAACTATCCAGTTTTACGTCGCCGCATTAGGGTCATCATCAGGTTGCACTGAGTGCTAAGACGAAAAATATATCTGTAGAACTTTGGGTGTCTTCAATCAGCAAAGCCACGGTTAGAGACAGCTGCAACCGTCAACGTCGGCATGAAAACTGAAGCATGATAGGAAACCGAGCTAGTACCTAGCAACGCTGGCAATACCGTCTAGGACAACCCTCCATTTAAGTCCACGTAAGCTTAGTGCATCTACACGGTCTCACTTCCTTGTGTAAAGTCGATTCTGGAGAAGCTGGAAAAGGTTCCTCTCGTACAACAATCGCAATATGTTTTCTGTAGTTGGAACGTTGTCTGTGGCTCATCGAGAAAATGTGCGCAGATGTTCGGTGTCGAGCTTGCAAATCGGCGCGTAGCGTAAGCCAGGCCAGTTCAGGCAGGATAGAAACGCCGCGGACGCCGTCCAAATGCTAGGCTCTATGAATTCCTGTGCAGTTGACGACAACTATCACGGAACTTCTAAGCTAAATAAAACTCTTTCTGCCGAATGAAGAGATGTTAGCCTCTAAATTGGATAAGGTCACTAGGGTCAAGACCACCTGCTAGGAAGACTTTTGCATGCTTATGTATGGGTCTGCAGACGTGCCTGTGCATTGCAAACGTCTTCACCATCCGTACCTCTGCCGGCCCTGACTCACACTGGAAGGCCTACGTTAACGAAATGCTGCTCACACTCTAAATTCTGCTGCATCGAGATGACCACCCTTTTCCCGTTGTCCTTCACGGATCAACCGTGCGATGACTCGGTCTCCACTCGCTCTCCTACGTACACGTCGCCTGTGGAGTACGACGGATCAAGTGAGAGTGATAGCGAGCTCTTGTTGAGTCTCTTCGGCCACCCTGAACACAATTCCTCCTCAAACAACGTCGCCGACAGAGGCGGACGTCCATTTCCCTATACCCGCTCCAAGACTCGATGGCGTAAGCGTCCGAATGACGAGCTCAAGTATCTGCGAGCGCAGATCGTCGAGCTTGAAGGTTTGGTTGCAACTTTGAGCAACTCGCACTCCCGACCGAAATTACTTGGCAATGGTGAAGACTGTGGAGATAATAACCAAGTGGAAGTGCTCCAGAGACTCTCAGAAGAAAGTCACAAGAAGAAGATGGAGGCTGCGCTGGCCGAGAACCGGAAGCTTAAGGCCATGGTAGCAAGTCACTTCCAAGTGGCTAAGGCGTTGCAAACCGCTCTTGACGAGAGCATGCGACTGCGAGCACGTAAAGTATGCTGGCCTACCAGTGCCGCTGCTTCGGATGAATTGGTGTTCGCCTTGTTGGACGAAGAGAAAGAGCTGCAATACGCTGCGACAGACAAGGTCCTTGACGCGAGTGGGATCGCTAGGATCTACCATCCGTACTTCTCCGAGCCCGAACTCCACCGTGAGGGTAGTGGAGTGTATTTCCAACATAATGACGTTCGTGTTCTTCCGTTCGCTGTGGCAGACGTCGTTCGTGCGCTGCGTCACAGTTTGAGGCATGGATCAAACGTGGGTCCCGCGCAACACTGCCGCAAGTTCCTCATGCAGGACGCATTCTCTCAAGCCGTGACGGTGGACAACGTGGAAGTTCCTGGCACTGTTCCGGCTGAAATCAAGGGAAGACACTTGTTGTGGTCTGTCGTCAAGCCTGAGCGAACTGTCATCAACTGGTCGAGTTTTAACGAGTACGATGGAGCCAAGCACATTCGACTGCTCAAAAGGTTGTGGTTCTCTGTCGAGCCGATCGCTTTGCACGCTGGCCCGTCGACACAAGGCTGTATTCTGCGGACCATTGTTCGCTTTACTCCTGTGGATCCTGAGACCAGTCTGAGAGACATTGAGGAGATGGCGGATGTTATTATCTCGGGCTATAAGCGCGACTCGGTGAGAGTTGTCATGGCTGTGAGACAACAATTGGCAGCTTTGGCCGCGTCGAGAAGGTAAATGCTGTAAATACACGTATATTCTAATAGGTTTGTAAGGAAAGTATTCGTTCTTACACCAATGTTGGGATTATCAAGATGTAGAAACTGTAGGAGCACTCACTTTTTCCCGTATAAGAACGTCGGATCCATCACGTTCCCATTATCTCCAACTGTCATCACCGGACTTGAAGGTTAGAGTAATTGATACCTAAGTTACAAATACTTTGGCATCCACAATGAAAAGATGATTTCTCGAGACAACTGTGAGATCATTCCGAAGTTGATCAGGCCATACTGTACTTATTATTATTTGGGTGCCGAGCGCTTTGTATTTGACAACAACGTTGATAAGAATGCTACAAGTACCCATGCCATTGAGCTTCCGAACGCGTTAGCGCAGTTTAAAATGCACTCAATCAGCGAAATAGGCTGTCGACGCCTACTTGATTCATGTAGATAGTCCCGTCCGTTGTCATAGCGTTTGTGCTTGCTACTATTATCTCTCTCTTTTTATTCCTGTTTAAGGGGTTTCCTTTCGCGGCATGTACCATAATTATGAATCAGCAATTTACGTGTACATGTACTGCGACACATTCAATGGTGCTGCAAGGGTTTGCGAAGCTTGCCAAACACAAAATAGCCGGCGCTATCTCGATAACTCTCCACTTGGACTCGCCCTGAGCTTGCCTTAGTTTACTTGCATCACTTTTTTTACGAACTGGGGCTACCCAGGAGCACCCAATGGTGGGAGAGTAATTTTTACGCTCAGCATGATGCTACCTACATGTTCTCGCTGTTAAGTATGCAGAGGATCATTGATCGAAATCCAGCATAGTCTCATTAGTTCCTTATAATTGGGTCTTTTCGTATACAGTTAAACACCGAATAACAGGACTTTTTATTTACCAAATTTGTATTCCTTTTGAGGGGTGATCGGAAATATTGCCCTGAACTTGTACGCCACTGGGCATTTATTGCTGTTGAGGGAATATTCCAAAGCCCATAAATTACTACTGAAGGGATCATATGTATTACTTCTAACGATAAGGTCACTTGATTCTGTGGCATCGTTGACTCATCGCTCGATCGAGGACCTCGACTAGAGGTCCTCCCCTGTGCACCTGCTACAATTCCAGCTCAGACTGAGTCTCAGCAGATGCCTGGTCATTCTGTAATTGACGGGGCCTCGATGACGACTGTGCTCGGGAGCTCCACGAACGACCAAATTCCCGTCACTCCAACACCTTCGTGCTCATCCTCGACTACGAACCCGGACGGGTCGAGCGATACTGACAGCGATCTCTTCTTGAGTTTGTTCGACCAAACCAGTCCAGGTTACTCACCGACTGCAGACAGAGGTGGACGCCCATATCCATATACTCGGTCCAAGACACGGTGGCGAAAGAGGCCAAACGACGAGCTAAAGTATCTGCGAGGTCAAGTTGTCGAGTTAGAGAATCTGAGAGCAGCGCTGAGTCACTCCGACTCGCGACCGCGACGAATAGTCAACCAAAGTCAAGTTCTACACACACTTTGCGAAGAGAACCACGCTAACAAGCTGCAAGCTGCGCTCAACGAGAACCGAAAGCTGCGAGCAATGGTAGCGAGTAATTATCACCTCGCTCGCTCGCTTCAAGCGGCAATTGACGAGCAGTTGCGACTGCGAGCAGGGAAAATATCATGGCCGAATAGTACAGCAGCGTCGGACGAGTTGATCTTTGCCTTGCTGGATGAAGAGAAGGATCGACAGTTCGCTATGCTCGACAAGGTGTTGGAGGACAGCGGGATCGCGCGAGTATTTCACTCGCTTTTCTCGTCCCTCCAGCTCCAGCACAGTGAGAATGGACTGGTGTTCCAGCACAACGAAGTGCGACTGCTTCCTTTCAGTGTTACGGATGTGGCTCGTTCACTTCGACATTGTTTGAGCTACGGATCGAGGGTTGGGCCGACTAAGCACTGCCGCGATATTCAGATGTATGATAAATACTTCCATGCTGTCACAGTTGACAAGGTGGAACTTCCAGAGACCCAAGCTACCGAGGTCAACTCCAGGGTCGTGCAATTATGTGTCGCTAGACCTGAGAACACCGTCGTGACCTGGTCGGGATATGTCGAGTACAAAGGCTCCAAAGTAATCCGCTTGCTGGAGAAGACGTGGATTGTTATGGAAGCGATCCCCTTGGGAAAGCTCGGTATGCTCGCTATGGGAGAACGGACTCACGGCACGTTGATGCGAGTCGTAGTTCGGCTGACACCGGTGGAAACCGAGTACGATCTAAAGAAGATAAGAGATGTCGAGGAAATGGCCAACGTCGTTGTGAGCACGTACCAGCGCAATGGACAACGGATGCTCCAGGCGATGCTGGAGTACTTGAGAGATAGCCACCAAAGTCGGTAAACAACCTGGATACAAGCTCAGCAACAGAAGAGTGATAATCACGAAGTTCAGTAAAATTCCTACCACGATGTGGCAAGAGTATGACGGATGGATTGCAGGAATAAGTGTAACTTTAGAAACATCGCAAGCGCCACTACCTTGGTACGGTAGACATTGGAGTCGGCCACAGTACTACATGTAAGTAGTATGCAAGCCAGTGCCACGCCGACCTAAGTGAAAATGCCTACCTACTGTAGCGTATTGCGGTCGTGGGGACTTCCTGCATATTTGTTGACTCAGACCATTCTCTTATTTTATGACATTTGGCAGCTATGCACACATGCGAGGGTAGAGGTAGTAACGGACAGAGCAAGTGCCATCATTTAGCTTGGGCTTTGTCCGTGTCGTCTCGCGACGTTCGCTTCATTTGACCGGGTAACGACAACGACCCACTCGAGCTCTTTCGCTTCAGTGTACAAAACGCGAATGGCAGACTACGACCGAGAAGGACGACCATTTCCATACACCCGGTCCAAGACACGATGGCGCAAGCGTCCGAGTGACGAGCTCAAGTACCTGAAAGCGCAAGTGGTCGAGCTGGAGAAGTTACTCGCAGCTCTAAGCCACTCCGACTCCCGTCCAAGACTACTGAACAGCGGAGAGCCAAGTGACAACCAAGCGGAAATGCTTCGAAAACTCCATCGAGAAAGTCAAGTGAACAAGTTAAAAGCCGCAATGAAAGAGAACCAGTACCTTCGAGCAATGCTCGTCCGTAAATTCCACTTGGCTCGATCTCTCCAGTCCGCCATCAACGAGCAGATTCGCTTGGGTGTTCGGAAGATACCGTGGCCAACCCGTGATGGCGCATCAAATGAGCTGGTCTTTGCCTTGTTGGATGAGGAGAAAGAGCGTCAATTCGCTGTACTTGACGAAGTTTTGGAACAAAGCGGGATGGCACGAATTTATCACCCGTCGTACTCGAGACTTCTACTTCATCAAAGCGGTAAAACAGTGTCGTTCCAGCATAACGAGGTGCGTATGCTTCCGTTTGCCGTGTCGGATGTGGCGCAGTCATTGCGCTACGCCTTGAGTTTCGGAGCGCGAGTCGGGCCAACCAAGCACTGCCGCGACATCCGCATGTATGATAACTACTTCCACGCGGTCACTGCAGACAGCGTTAAGCTTCCAAACGCTCAATCTGCTGAGGTGAACTCCAGAGTACTTCAGTTGTGCGTGGTTCAGCCAGAACGCACTGTGGTGACCTGGTCGGGCTACGTCGAGTACAATGGCGCAAAGTTCGTTCGCCTACTTGAGAAAACGTGGATCGTCCTAGAACCTGTTCCGATGGACACACTCGGGATGCCCGCAATGGGAGGTAGGACCGACGGAACGTTGATGCGGGTGGTTGTTCGCTTGACTCCTGTCGAGACTGAATTGGATCCACAGAAACCAGAGGATATTGAGGAGATGACAAATGTCGTCGTTGGCACGTATCAACGCCACGGACAGCGAATGTACCAGGCGATGCTCGAGCAGTTGAGCGATTGCATGCGTGTTTGAAAATGTGAAGGCGATATGCTTCTCTATACTCGGTGTGATGTTTGTTTGCGTTTTAGAAGGGAAGGATTAAATAGAGATCAGAGCAGCAAAACCTGAGTTGTTGCTACTGCACCGGAACTTAAGCTTAGTGAAAAAAAAAAAAAAATGCGTCATGGCACGGATACCCGCTTTTGATGAGCTATTCTAATATGACATTTAGCTTTGTCGTTTGAGACAGCGACAAGATATTGTAATTGCTAGTGTAGTGTCTTGTGGGGTGAAGTATCCTACTACGATACGGCCAACTCGTAGATGTTATTGTAACACATTTGAACCTTTTTCTAAAACGAGGCAGAGTGCACTTAGAGGCAACCCTCATTTCGTTTTTACACCGTATCCGTAAGTATCATGGACTCGTGGCCTAGCCATTTCCTGTTAGAAACTCTTTATCATTAAACAAACCAGCTTGTTTCAGGTAGAGGCG